TGCTTTTCTCAAATTTCCCCAAACGATTCCCAAATTATATACACATAAATAAATCAAAAATATTCAGTTTGTCTGCTATCTTGTCAGTGGTCAATCCATAAAGCCAATGTATAAGGATTTGGAGCCAAAATGGCGTCAAAAAGTGTAAATAGTGCTCACTTTCATAACGTATCTACATATTAAGTGTAATGTATTTAACCTATCTGTTGTGCAATGTCTGTGTGCACCATCGATATATAGTATGGACTGCGCACAGGCTGAAAGAATATGACCGGCCCGAAAGAAAGAAATAGCGACCGGTGTGGGTCAAGCTCTGTCTTTTTCTAATAGCTCTGTCTCTTTCTATCGTTTAGCGATATCCACTGGGCGGTAATAAAAGCAGCCAATAGGAGTATTAGAAAGAGCGAGCGATTAACCCATGTCCCACACCGCGTTTCCTTTTTGTCTAATTCACAGGACATTTTTCGAGGGGATTTATGAATGGATCGCGCAGTCCATACTATATGTCGATGGTGTGCACACATTCATACTTATATGCATATGCATGGATGTCGAAGCCAAAATGGCGGAATGATTGCGGTACTTTATAAATCTAGTGACTTTATGGATGCATATTCAGAACGATAACCGCTCACTGAACGCTCAGTGAACTCTTTCATATGATTGGCATATTCCGTTAGATCCTAAAATATAGACTAATCAGATGAAAGAGCTCACTGAGAGCTCAATGAACGGTTGTCGTTCTGAGTACCGATCATGAAACTTTTTCCCTAGGATGGAAAATGAAAAGTGAAAAATTTCTCCATTAATTACAATGGTAAAAATGTTCACTTTTCATTTTTCATTCTAGGAAAAAAGTTTCATGATTGATACCCAGTAGAGACCCTCTAATCAGAGTCGCGAAATAACGTTTCCAATTTTGATTGGTGCTGACATTTTTCAGCAAAAACCGGAAATAGTCATGGCGTCAAATTTAAGTCGACCTACATTCACTGCCCATTTTGCTCTTTTTTCAGGATTACGAGGAAAGACTTTCATAATATAACCCTTTTTTGCAGAATTGTTGCAGTCTGGCGCAGAACAACCAGTCATTTTAGAAAATATAATTTTATGAAATATACAGTATTAATATAAAATATATAAATAATAATGTAATTTCTTTTTGATAACTGCATTTATATTCACATGTATTAGGTGTTAATGTATCACAATCATAGTCTTCTCATTGCAACTGCGATGGTGCTCGTACGTGCAGTAGTATTATATTTAATTGTTACTTTCGGTTTTTGCTGAAAAATGGTATCGCTGACCTAACCTTATTGACGTTATTTCGCGACTCTGATTAGAGGGTCTCTAATACCCAAGAGTCGAAACCAAGGTATCGATCATGAAACTTTCCCTAGGATGGAAAATGAAAAGTGAACAATTTCTACATTAACTACAATGGTAAAAATTTCACTTTTTATTTTTCATCCTAGGGAAAAAGTTTCATGATCGATACCCTGATCTCTGGCCGGTATTTATAGTCAGTTCTTATTTGAAGATTGTCTTAAGTAATGTCCATGAAGGAAGATATAAGGAGACTCCACTCGGTCTCGCCAGTCTACAAGACATGAACCCATTTTAGGTTTCGAGTTCCGTTTCCGATTCTCGACACTCGCAGCGCTCGTGAATTTAGTAGTGCTGCGCATAATGAGTGCGAGTAAGAGAAATGATCATTTCTCTTACTCGCACTCATCAGAATCGGAAGCTGAACTCGAAACCTAAAATGGGTCCACTTTTATTTTACGGAGTGGAGTCTCCTTATATCTTACTTCCTGGTAATGTCTTAAGGTGCTAAAGCGACCCTCCGATTGGTTCGTAACTCTTCAAGACTGAACTTAAAGGTGAAGTCGCATGGAGGCAGCGTACGGCGTACCGGCGTACGGCGTAAAAGAACTAGGCCAATCACAGGCTTTACGCCCGTTTTCGTTACGCCAGCACGAATTCATGCTGATTTTTTTAGCGTTCTAGCGTTATGTTCACACACACACGCACATATGAGACATTCCATTATAAATCGAACACTTTTCAGACGACTATTTTTTAAATCGCTTGAAACTTTTTTTACGTGTTCTAGGCATGAAAAAAGTGGACCCGTGTCTCGGGAATTTTTTTTTTTTTTTTT